AAAAAGAATGTTCCCTCTTTGATATTATAAATTTTAAGCTTAGTTTTAGACATCTTTTTTATGTCTCCAGAGTTTTAAGTTTTACAAATTAGTTTTTAATTTTATTTTTCAATACATTAAAAAATTTATTTCGTTCAATGATTATTTAAAAAAATTGAAATTCGAAAATTCCACATTGCTTCATTTATTGAATTGTATAAAAGGAAAAAAGTTGAATAAAATGAATGAATTGAAACAGGAAAAGTTTTGATTAAAATAATAAGAATGAAGTATAAATTAAGAGAAAAAAGAGCAATTTATATTTGCACTTCCATATTTTTCCGCTAATCATTTCATATTTTTTTAATTTCTTATCAGCTTATCACAGATATCATGTGAACATATCTAAAAATTTAAATATTTCATTATACATTATACAATGAGAAATATAATTTTGATGATTCAATTTAATACCAATTTTAAGTTTTAGACATTTTTTTAATGTCTAAAGCGATTGTCGCTTTAAAATTAGCATTGAACTGAAGTTGTTTTTTTAACAGCCACATGCAAATTCCATAAATATTACATATTCAAGAAAATATTTTTGTTATTAATTAGAAATAAAGAAGTTATTTCTAGGACTACAGGCCAATTTAACCAATAAACGATATGTTATTTCGAACATTTAAACTTCAATACAATGTCCTTTTTACTGTTATACCAAATTTTTTTACAAATGTTACATTTTCTTTTTGCAAAATTTTAGCATCTCTTTTTGGATTAGTAATTTTTATATTTCAAGAAATTTGTCCATCCCCTTCAAAATTGCATTTTTGACGCAAAAATGTGATTTGAAGTGGATGAAGAATAAAGGAAGCGATAAGAGTTAGTAAGTGGTTTTTCATGAAAAATTGAAAAGTATTTCATAAGCTGTTCTAACAACCGGAGAGGGGATGTGAATATTATTGGAGCTGAAATATTCGTCATGTAAAATTTCCGGCAAATCGTGGAGCATTTATCAGTTAAAATAATACTAAATTGCAATTATGCATCATAAATTAATTATTTCTTAAAATTTTCTTTTTAAAAATATTAAATTTCATCATAATTTAAAAGACACTTATTGGATGCAATTAATGCTTTTTTAAATAAATAAAAGTTTAAAATTAAAAAAATATTTACGTTTGTTTGGCCAACAAATTGATCGATGATTCATTTTCTTCATAGTTTGCATTTGTATGCATAATAATCAGAATGTTCATAAAATGTGCAATTGAAACTGCAGGAGCAATCACCGCGAAAGGAATGGATTAAAGATTTTCATGGAAAAAAAAATCGAATACATTTCAATTCGCTTTATAGTCTAATATTAAAATGGCCGTATAGCTATCATAAATGTTATCATAAGCTTATCGCTACTGTTTTATCAATTATAATAGTCGCGGTAAAAAAAAAAAATCAATATTGCCATCTTTGATTATTATTTAATTGTAGCAATAAAGTAAGCTATTGAAAAAAAAAAAGAAATAACCAAAACCGCAGCATTTTATTTGATATCAAAACAAATTGTAATTGTAATTGAAATTAAATTAACAAGCACATATGCCTATATAGGGACAGTAGTAATGTGTAACTCTTTTTTCACTAATTAAAAAAAAAATTCCAGTAATTTGTTGTTATTTTTCTAATTGAAATATATCGTTGCATTTTTAGAAATTAGGAAAATTATACATAACGTCATGTCTGGAAAAAAAGGCAAGTCGTTTAACGATCAATATCATCAAAGTAGAAGATTTACCAAAAGGTGGCATTACTGGATCCCCTGGTAAGTGAAATTTAAAAACTTCTAAAATTAAGAACGCTATTTTACACTTCATTTTCGAATAATATAACTCCATCCGGAAATATTTTCCAGATTGAACTCTGCCTTAAAATTTTTTTATTAAATTAATGAGCGAGAAAAAATAATTTTCATGCTCTTTAAATTTGAAATTTCAATTTCAAAATTGAAAACTTCATTCCGAATGTGTTTCCATGAATAAATTTATTTAAATAGTGCTTGTTATTCATTTTTTCCAAATGATTCTTGTCATTCTAATTCAATTGAAAGCGAACGTTTTTTATGACATCATTTTAAAGCATTCACAATATTCTTTCAATTAAAATTATTTCGTTTCAATAATTAAAACGAAATGTTATTTGCATTGAAGCATAATTCTTCTATGAATATGTCACATTCTATTTTTTTTTTTTTTTAAAGAAATCTCATTTCTTTGAGGTGAGATTCTGTCTCATTATACTTTTGGATTGAATCTCATGAGAGATATAATGTAATTAGTAAAAAAGAATTATTTTGACTAATTTTTAAACTTCATTAGTCTATCTCAGAAAGAGGGAGATCATAGATTTTTAAATATTTTATTTGCAAAACTTTTATTTATTTTTATTTTTGACTTCGAAAGCAGATGAATCACTTCAAATGCCATTGTCGTTTAGAGATATTTTTAAAATTTCAAAAATCAAATTGAAGAGGCGATTGAAAAAAAGAAATGATTAACGCATCATTTATCTCGCTGCAACATGTAATGGTGGTAACAGTAATAAACATCCTATTTATTTGGATTTTCAAAAGATTTCACTTTTTTTAAAATAAAAATTTATTTTATAAAGCTAAATGAGTGGGCGGCTTTGCCTTCTTGTAATTTTTATAAAATTACAATAACTAAAAACTCTTTTCCAAAAAGCAATCAACAATTTTCCATGTGTTAGCATTATTTTTTTTTTGATCAATTTTGTTTATAATAATAAATACGTTTTTAAAAAGGAAAAAAAAACGCAAACTTTATCCATATGCAACTATTTAAATTAAGAATTCTTCAAAAAAAACCACGATTCAATTTTATTGAAGCACAAAAAAATTTAATTCGGAACTTGTTATATTTTAATTAAAAAATCTTGCTTAAAGTAGATGAATTAAAGAATTTCTGGTATACAGTGGCAGTGTCATTAAAAGAAGAAAAAGTAATATAAAAAAATGAATTTAATTTAATTCATTATTACTTAACACATAAGTAGGTTAGGCAATTAATGTTCTCATCCAACGTTCACAAATATGAAAATATTAAAAACCATCATATATGGTTCATCAAAAATTAAGAACTCGGAAGATTTTGCTATCGTTTATTAAATTTTTAATTGTTATTTTAAGAATTCGACCAGACAAACTGAATAATATGAAATGTATTGATTTGTTGTACAGAACATTACTTCAAAAATAAAACGAGCTGTTTTTGTTTATTAATTTTTCCGTAGAAAAATTTAGTTAAAATTTTACTAATTTAAAAAAATTCAATTAAATAATATCTATTTGTTTTTTTATTCATAATTTAAAGATGACATTCTAAAAAATTCAGATTAAAATTTTTTAATCAGATGTATGTGTTCGAGTATGTTTAACGCAAAATAACGTAACACAAACAAAACAAAGTCGCGTAATCAAAGGGACGTGTAATGCAACGTATAAAGAAGCAATTATGTTTTTGGTGAAAACGAGATCAGCAGATCTTGAGGATACGAGTATCACTGTTTCCGTTCATGATTTATCAAGGTATTGTCTTACGTCAAATTACGTGGAATGATTTATACAATCCGTTCGTTTATGATTTCACATGCATAAATAACCAAATTTACTTTTTTCCTTCTTTTTCTTTGTAAACGGCAATATTTTCAAAATAAAATTATATAATTAAAAAAAAAATTATATGCTTTAAATTTTCTTTCACATTTCAAAACTTTAATTTGATCAAAAAATTATTACTTTTTTATTCTTACTTTCTTCATGAAAAAATAACTCAGTAACAACCATAACTTCACATTTAATATGTCACGCTTACTATACGTACGTAAATTAAACATTGTACTAAATAATACAAAGCATTTTAAAGCTACCCTAATTATTCCCTATTTCTAATTTTTGCAAAAATTTCGTGAAATCATGTATATTTTCATGTTTGTAATTATTGATCAATTATTGATATTGTTCAAATTTCGGTACTTCATTTGTTCATATATCTAAGCACATATACTTTTACTTGCATATGATGATTGAAATGATAAATAAACATAAACTTATTCAAATTGGCCAAACCAACTAACCAAACTAATCCCACTAATTTATTCACAAAAGAACTAAAAACGAGGGAACAAAATGAAGTCTTTCTAAGAATCATTTATTTTGCATTTAATCCCTCAGGAAATGTAAGTTGGAAGCAAGTTAAAGATTAATATTGCTTAGTTGATAAATACCATTAAGTAAATTGGAGAATGATAAGTGGAAAATAATAATAGTGCCAAGTTAAAAAAGAGTACTAAGTTACTAAGAAAGATAATGATAAGTAAATTGAAGTAAATGAGGATATGAATAAAGATATTAAGTAGTATAATTGTTACAATGTTACATAGTTTCTTATTCAAGAGTAAATGAAATTTTAAACCGGTATAAAAAGTTTAATTTTACTTTCTGTCAAAAATCATAATTTATTTAAATGAATTTCGGGTTTCTACTAATTGACTTAATTAGTTTTCTGTCCATTGATTTTTTTATTCGAATCTATTTCTTATTTTATTAAATTCCTGTCTATTAATTTACTCATATTTGTTTCAGGACAACCGCTGGTGACGATTTGATCGGTTCAGCATATCTCGGTAAATTAGCAATTGACAAATCGGAACATGAGCAATGGAAGAATACAATAGAACATATCGGAAAAGAATTTAAAGGTATTCATTATCTAAAAGCACGTGTAGAAGCACCAAATGTTCACGTAACGGAAGCAACATCCGATGCTGAGTGAAACAACGTATATTTTCATTTCAAAATGCTTTTTTGCTTTTTATTCGAATTTTTTTTCTGAAAATTTTTTCAAATTTTATCATTGTGTTTTCATCCTTTTCAAACTCATTTACATCATTGTAAAAAACGAAATAATTTCAAAATCTCTATCGAAAATTATTCAATTGTAATCAATTGTTAAGAAAACATGTCTCATCAAAATTTTCTGTGGAATTAAATGTTTATCAAAAATTAATTATCCGGTTATTTTACAGTTTTGCTAATACGATTACATTCTTGAAAGATAACAAAGCACCTGAATCAACCATTATCATTTTGACAACGATGTCTGAAATACCGTAATATTGCTACTATTACGGTATATTTCATATGGTAAATTACATAAAAATAATGACATATCAAAAATATTAACTGTTTGAGAAAATTTTTTTTTAAAAAGCTGAAAAATTAAAAATTTATTTCATTTTTATATGCTAATTTCAATATTTTATTGCATGGACATGATTCCTTTTTTAAATACCTTTTTCACACTTTTTTTTTGTTGAATTTTAATTTTGCATTATAAGCATATCTTAGACCTGTGCATATTCTTTTAATCAAACTTCATATTAATTTTTCCTTTGCTATCAAGGTCAAATCATTTCGAAAATGAAAGTCGACTGAAACTTTTTTAACAAATTTTTTTTAAAATTTAAAAATATGACGGGAATCATGCAAAAGTGAAACATTACCATTGTTTAATAATCGTTTCTGTTTAATTGTTCTCATTTCTAACCATTAAATCATGTAAGCAATTATTGCTCAATTTCGGTTGCCGAAAAGATGAAATTAACGAGGCGAAGATTTTTATTTCAGTTTGCAATGGCTGTTACTGATAGCATTTATTGATCAAATGCATTTGTTGGGAATATTTTTATAAGAACGGAAAAATTTTATTAATTTTAAACTTGAAATGAAACAATTATGTGGAAAGTAAAATATATTATGCTTTATTTTATATTTTATCCAAAGCTAATGCTTTTATTTTTTTAAAGTATAATTTGTGCCTTTCATTTTAAAATGATTCATTTACATTTGTTCTTAGTAATTGTTAGGTATTAACATCACTTTTAAAAAGAAAGCAAAATTTTCTCTTTCTTTGTTTTAATCCATTCTAATATGACTGTATTTCTTTTGTTTTTGATGAATTCATTTTGATGTGTATAATTTAATAAATATTTATACTTTTCCGATAACACAGCTTAAGCAACATGAAATGCTCGTAATATTCATACATGTCGATTAACGTTAAAAGGAAACTCAAACTCTAAACTTAGCTTGTAAACAGTAGAAGTAACATGAACGACTCGATATAAATTTAGAAATAAAACGAAGCGTTCGTTATATAAAATCTGAATTATATTTTATGATATTATTACAAAAAAAAAATAAAATGTCATAAACGTATTTCGGTTATTTTTTCTTTCGACTTGCGTACCATTCCATCCATGAAAAATTGATTAAATTCAACTATTTAATGTATTATCAATAAAGATGGTCCATTTTTTGTTCGCATAAAATATTTTTAACTTCCATTACTTTAATTTAAGTTATTTTCGCAAAGCAGTAAAGAATTTTTGGTAAATATTTACCATAATGCTATGTCATATTTTTTGAGAAATTATAATAAATTTCATTTTGAATTGAGAAAAATTTTTTTGGTCGTTTTAAATAAGCGATTTATATGTTTTATGGCTTTTCAATATATTAAAGATAAATTTCAATATTTTCCCACTCTTTTTCACTATTTAGTTATCATCCATTCATATGCTTCAATAAATATAAAAATGCACATATAGTGAAAGGAAGTAAAATGCACAGAAATTTTATTAAAATGTAAGCGTAAAAATTTTATCCAAAATTAAAATGATGCCGAAAAATTGTTCACATTATACGAAAAAAAATGCAAAAAAATTTCTGCTGATAGCATTGAAAAATTACTTTGAAGTAAGCGCTTTTTTTAGAACAAAATTGATTTCTAAAAAAATGTTCAACAGTTAAATTTTATTGCTG